AGGTCCATGATGCACAAGTTTCCAGAGAGCGGTGCTATGATAATGGAACATAATGAGCATCAGCTCAATGTTAATGTCATTAACGTGGGGAGAAGGAACGGATCGTTTTACAAGCTCAGCAGAGAGAAGACAATGACGCCAGGCACTAATTAGCCGTTATCGTCTGGCTTTCACTGGATCTCAGACAGTCAATTCAATTACTCCATATAACAGCCCAGGATGAATCAAAGAGGGGGGGTGTATAAAAAAAAAGATTGAGCAGACGGGAAGAGTACAGAAGAATAGAAATGGCTGGGGTCTTCCCTATCTGGCCCTTCTCATCTGCCCTTGTGCCCCTGAGCCCACCACATTTCATTCCTAATGAACAACCCCATAAAAAGAAGGAGTTCGATTTCTCTCTGCTCCCCACTATCTCTCTGGCTCCCTCTCCTTCCTGCTCCTGTGGAAGATATCAGAGTCCATCATTTGCAGTGCTGGACGGCAGCATCCGATCTGCAGATCTCCTTTACATTAGAGGATCCTTTTAGATAGAGAACCCTAAAAGGTAATTGGATTTCCCCCCTAGTTATCTTCATCTGTTTCACCCTAAGACCACTGTAATAACTTACTCTCAGGGCCAGAGATAACTCAATTCTGTCCCGCAGAGTGCTAGTGAGAGTGGGAGTGGGAGAGAGAGAGAGAGAGAGAGAGAGAGAGAGAGAGAGAGAGAGAGAGGAAGCATATGTCATGTCTCTGAGGGAAACGGGTATCTAAATCCTCTATCACTGTCTTGACAAGGATATGAACCCTGACAAGGAGCAAACATAAATGTGTTTTTATGTATTGAATTATTCTTGTTTCTGGGGCCTTGGTGGGAATTTGCAACTGCTATTGACAAGAACAAGAACTATTAAATGCAGAATAGTAAAGAGAGGGAGGATACAGATTATATTTTGACGACTGATGCTGTTTGACTCAGTAAAGCTCCTTATTTTCAGTGTAACACAATGAAACCAAAATGAGTCATTTTGGGAGCCTGTTTTGAGCTTCAGTTCTCACAGAGCAACCTGTGCAGTGTGTCTCTGCAACACAATACAGAGGAAAAAACTCCAACAAAACTGGGACATAGCTGAAAATTATTATTTCAAAACCCTCCAACCCCCATCCTCAGGGGGGATGTTTCATTGGCCTGTTATTTTTATTGTGGCGGTGCAAAATGAAACTCCAGCAGGCTCAAGCAGAGCTCGTGTAGAAGCACCAAAAAAAATCAATACAGCAATATCAGAGCAAGACTTATCAGGGCTTCACTTCTTCTCAGAGGTCACTGAGGAGCAACTGCATTTAAGTGGGGAATTCAATCGTGAAGCATAGTTTGGGACGAGCTACGGTGGCTATCTGATTAAGGACAGCTGGAAGATTGCAAAGGTAGAGCAAGTTTCAGATGACAACAGGAAATACAACTCACGGAAAGTTATAGCTTTCTATTAGTTGTATTTTTCGCAGTAATTTAGGTGACAGATCAACTGATAGTACTGCTCCTTCTACACATGTAAAACCCTGGTCTTAATGCACAGCATACTGTACTGTCCTAATACAGGCCCATGATGTCCTTTTAAGTACATAGTTTACTAATATGACCGTACAAAGCATGGTGAACACCAACCACTAAATAACAAACCAGAGATGACCTCATGCTCAGTTGCCTGTCATTAGTTCTCTCTCTCCAAACATGAACCAAGGACTATTTCTTGCCATGTTTTTACGCCTTGTTTTCAAATGCATTCTGGTTTAAACATAACTATTGACTTAAGGCTTTTATAAAATAGGATTTTAAGTTAGTTAAACAGCTAATGCTTTTTCCCATCTCTTCGATCTAGACATAAAGTACACTTTCCTAATAGAGTCACGACTGTATGAGGTGTTTGAGATTTATACCAGTAATGGTTTAGGGGATGGAGATGGGAAAAAAAGAACAAATAGTGAAATGGCATCATATATCAGCTCATATCATGAGCTGAAATGAAAATACATCTTTTGTACAGATTTTGCACTGATAAAGAGACGCAAAGGTACTTATAGTGTGAGGTTACTTTCTTAAACAACAAGCGTTATTAAAGGCTTTTTAAAAGTCTATCATCTATGATACATTTTCAGCCAAGGCTTTTGTAGTCAACCTTTGGCTCAGCTGAAATGATCTGCTACATGTGTTGCAGACAGTGCTTTAAGCATTTTTATCTGTGATAATTAGGCCTACTCGGCCTGGTAGACTATGTAATGATGACAGAAGACTCAATCACCCTGAGACATGTTTTCTTACATTGAATGTTTTGTAAACAAAGCTTATTATTTATGCACATCAGTAAACATGAACAGACAGATATTTATGTGATTAACAACAATTCAAATCAGCTGAGCGGGGCGCCTATAGTTAAGTGGTTATGTTGCCGCCCAATGTAGAGATGGTTGAGTCCTCATTGCAGTGGCCATGGGTTCAAATCCCATCTCGGCCCTTTGCTCATCCCCCCCCCCACTCTTTCCTCCCAACATTTCCTGTGTCTCTTCAGATGTCCTATCTAACAAAAGGCAGTGGCCAGAAAAATCACTTTAAAAATAAAAATCAGCTGAACGACAGATTGGTGGGGCTTTTATATTTAGGATATATGTTAGTTTTAGAGAGCAGAAGGTGAGTAGAAAAAGTTATGAAGTATAGAATGGAATACACCTAAACCCAGGGAGGAGAACTTGCAACAAATAGAAAAATGAATATAAAGAAATCTTGGTCAGGCTAATACATGCATACCAAACTGTGGTATGCCAAGTTCAGGAATCAGGGAGTAATGCCTGAACGTTTCAGAACATTAAAAGTAACAGTTACATTGTTAAACAGAGAACATGTGGCCTGCAGCCACAGCAAGAGGCCGAGGCAGAGAAGAATCATTTGGGACCGTCATGTGCAGACTGGCTGCCAAGTCTGTCTGTCTGTCTGGGGGTCAGGCAACATGCTCTGAGCCAAATGGAGACAGCTGACTAACCTGACATACTTTATATGCACTTTTGCCAGAGCACACAGATCGTACACCTTTTCAAAAAGTATACAGAGGGAAAAAAACAAAATCTGCAACATCGATCTGGTCGTACAAATCAAGCTCTGCAAGTATGTGTTGAGAATGTTAAGGTCAGATCGTGTCCGATAAATATCTGAGGATGACATATTGAGCAAACTGAGAAATAAGATTTCACAACAACTGGATGACAGTTTCAGAGAAAGAGAACCAATCCAACAAAAGAGAGAAAAACATAGCAATCACAGATAAAACTCTCATGTGCAAGAGTTGTTCCCCCCCATCTCACTGGTTGACTTTCAACACTCTCGAGGGATTACTCTTTACACGAATAAGAGAGTCCCTTCCATGAACCTTAAAAAAGCATCACATTTTACTGCAAAGTTGGGGCATATGGGGGACAGAGGGGTTGAAGGTGATGGGCTTGCACACAGTCAGCCCTTCAGGCTTGCACCTCTCAGGTCTGTCTGCAGCTTTTAGTGCTGGCAGGTTCCTGAGAAATGACTGAGGGAGGGGAAAAAAAAAGAGCAGAGAATGCCATATTCCTGTCACTGGCAAAATACTCCCCCAGCGGGAGTATAATGGACAGGATCTCTGCAGGACAGGAAATGATCTTGGTGAGATCTAGAAAGCAGAGGGATGGGATTTTAGCAGAGTTGGACTGGGGAGAGAGGTGTAGAGAAGGATGCCCATGGGTCAGGGTAGAACTGGCCTGGCGGCTATGCGTGAATGGCAACATTTGTGTGGAGAACGGGTGGGAAGAGGAGGGGGGGAGAAGTTATGTTTCAGGGGAGAGCCTGCAGTTAGACGGAGAGGAACGGGGATAAATTAACCCCACACAATGTTTGGTTAGTAAAATCTGCCAAGTATGATCTCCAACCTAAAACTACTTCAGTGTGTGTGTAGGTCTGTGTGTGTTTCTATGTTTGAAAAGTAAACATTTATCCTCCAGGTTTGCTGTGACAGATATTAAAATGTGATGGACAAACTTTAAGTAGTTATTGGATCAGCTCCTCTATGCTCTCAGTGACGGGAATATTAAACCCTTTAACATTTCTATCAGAGCAGTCTTAGTGTGATAGGCCTAAAGCTTCAAATTGTCTTAACTTTGCAAGCATAAAGTTCCTTTGGATCTTGAAGACAAAATATGACAGTTACAGGATCTCATGGTACAAAGAATAGCAATATATCCAAGAATAGTAATATTTCACCTGCTTGATCTCAGAATCTTCCCTGATACTTCAAGGGCTACAAATAAAGAAGAAATGTATCTTATCTCGAAAGGTCTTTGGACCAGACTCTATGGAAGACCGTAGCAAAACATGCTGAAGATAAGGATTTGTTGATAAATGCTTATGAGGTTTTTCAGTTGGCCGTTGTCTGGCTTGTAACAGCGTTATTGCTCATTGACCTCACCTCAGAAAATAACTTGATCTGTGCAAACTGTAACTGCATTATACCTCCAGCTAGCTATAGTACTAAAAGCTTCACATATATTACATGCATTGCTATCTTATCTTTGCTGAAGTTTAAAACAACCTTTTTTTTTTTTTTTAAGATTTTTTTTTGGGGCTTTTTGTGCCTTTGATGGAGAGATTGGACAGTGGATAGTGTGGGAAATCAGGGAGAGAGAGAGAGAGAGAGAGAGAGTGGAATGACATGCGGGAAAGGAGCCACAGGCGGGATTCGAACCTGGGCCACCCGCTTGGAAGACTATAGCCTCCATACATGGAGGCACGCGCACTAACCACTGCACCACCAGCGTCCCCAAGTTTCTGCTTTTAGTTAAGAACTTCAATGTTGTTTGTGTCATTCAAAACTTGGAAAGGCTAACACCTGTAAAAATCTAAATACTTTGCATAGATGTACGTGGATATATCTATGGACAATTTGATTATCTTAAAGTCTAAGAAATGGTATTAATGGTTTCTATATTTCTCCTAAGTTTCAGCATCTTACCTCAAACTCTGCGTGTTTATGGATGTCTTCAGCTCTCTGTCTGCTCAGGATAAATTCGGCTTCATTTGCGACACGGACCAGGTGGTCCTTCATGGTGTGACTCAGCAGCCTGTGGGGGAGAGGGCAAATGGACATCAGTCCAATGGGAACTGCATAGATGTATTAACAATCCCTATACTTTCTTCATAAATGTATATGGATTTCAGTTGTCTACAGTCCTAGAGGGTAAATGTCAGACAGATGGTAAGAAACATCATAAAATCCTGAGGTTCAGAGTATCTGAAACATCTGTTCAACACTGCAATATCTGCTAACCTAGAGAAGGAACAGCCATGTAATATCCATAAAATGCTGAACAAGAGCTGTGTAAAATAAGCAGAAAATCTAATTTGGAAACAAAACTGAACCAGATAGATCTTCTAAAAGGGGTGCAGTTGCTAATTGATTTGTTAATGATATGCATCTGACAAGAGGGAGGATCTGTGCCCCATGTTGCTACATATGTAGTCTTCCTCCCTCTGCTTATCAGTGATAATGAAACATGCATGTTATGTGTGTAAGCATGTGTGTGTGTGTGTGTGTGTGTGTGTGTGTGTGTGTGTATAGGTCGAAGGAACCCCTCTACAGCCCTAAAGGTCAGGACTGTGCAAAGTGGAACAATAACAGACTAGAGGCCAGAGAGGAGGGATGGGGCATGCTGGGACTGACTGTTGGAAAAGGGGGGGGATGGGGGTAAGGGGCAGAGGGATGACTGTAACCTAAGCCTGCTGTTTCAGCACGGGGCAGCAGGGGAGCGGAGGTGCTGGGGCCTCTGCAGCCTCTATGCTCCTGTCGAGGCCCCCCGCTGTCAATAACTGCAGAGTCACTGCAAAACAGAGTCGTGGTACTAAGGTGTGTTCTTATTTTGTGTGTAAAAATGAAATAAAATACCCAAAGTTAGGTGATTACTTTAAGGTTTCTTCAAAGTTCATCAAGTAACATTTGAGACCTTTTAAAATATGAGCAGGGATCAGACTATTCTACTACATCTGTTTTTATTCAGTAATTGCTGATTTCCTGATGATATAATTGATTAAAATAATTTGAGTTGGATCTTTCCCCAGTTTTTAAAAAAAAAAACAAATTGCCTTTTTAAAAAAGCCTGAACCGAGGTGGACTGCAGTATTGTTTAATCTGAATTTAATGAATTGAAAAGATATACAAGATTGCTTTAGAATTTTACAACTACCGCAAAACTTCTATTTATTAGCCCAGGTTTTTTTCCACTTCAGTCTATATAATGACCCTGCCTTTATTTTGGACATGCATCAAAACTCGTGCAGAGCAAAGGTGGGAATGACACTAAAATATTAAATGTGAAGTTTATTTCGGACATGTGACAAATTTACAAGAGAAAGAAAATTTAACAGTGTCCAAAATTAGGACAGGTAAAAAAGCATGCAAAACCTGCTTCACTGCCTGTACACAGACAAGCGTTATCATCCCCCCCATCTCTTTTAACTAGACTTAAAGTACACTTTCCTAATACGGTCGCACCTATATGGGGTGTTTGAGATTAATACCTGTACTGGTTAAGGAGTCAGATAGGGGGAAAAAAGGACAAGTTGTGACATGGCGTTCTATATCAACTCGTGTTTTAATACATACATCATTCTGTCTGTCTTGTATAGATGTCGTAGTTCATTTTAAATTTTTTATGCTGTGCTGTTGTCTCTCCTTAATTTTGCACAACACAAACTATTTCGACACTAAATGCATCAGGACCTTTAATTAAGAGCTGCCTTTATTTGTCAAAACTTGCAGCAACATCAGGCTCATAAAAGGGACTGGGCCTTAAATACTGATGGGCTTTTATTTAAAGTTTTACGGTGCTTAGGATATAATAATGTTGTGAATGTTGATTTTTCTAGACTTATAGGAACTAATTTGGGGATGCGAGAGTCATATTTGGAAGTGATGTGCAGGCTGATATTTTGACATAATTGAAAAACAAACAGAAACAAAAGTCTGCATTTACTGACAGATGCACAGTGAGAAATCAACAGCGATTTCCCGAGTGTCACAGAGGAGCCGGTGATCAGAGGCCCTGTCACCTTCTACCTAACCTCTCCTTTTCCCCAATCCCTCTGGGATGAGCAGGTATTGAATGGAGCCTAGAACTAAAGGATCTTCGACCTCACTCTCCCAAGCTGCTCTTCACCCCCCCAGAAACATTGATTGTTTTCCAGAGTTCTGAATAACTATCCCATCACATGGGCTTTGAGGATCCTAGGGGCTTTGATTTGATTCAGGAATGGTGAAATTGAAAAGTGGCAAATGGGAAAAAGGTTTGGAGGATCATGAAGATGTGCTGCTGCAGAGACAGAGGGCACAGTCAGAGTTACCTACCTTCCTTCGTTGACCAACTCAATAAAGGCGAGACCTGCGTTTTTCTGGATGGAGTTCTGCCATTCCTGCAAACATACACAAAAAATAACAATGACAGCACTGAAATACACTAACCTGGTTACAGAAAATAATTCTATACATTCTCTATTAAATCTCACAGCACATAGAATAATAAATAAGGAAGTTTGGAAGCAAATGATTACACTAAGTTGGGTCCTCACCACCTTAAAAAGGAAAATATTGACGGAAACAGCCAAAGTAAATGTCATGGTACTGTCTGTGATTAGAGCCGGTAGAGCAGACCCCCCCCATGCACAGAGGCTATGGCATCTTGTCGCACCGGTACCAGGTTTGACTCCCCGGTCCTTAAGCTAATCGGTGCATTTAATCCCCAATTCTCTCACTTCCCACATTTACTTCTCTCTCTCAAGCTGTTTTATTAATTCAAGGCAAAAAAGCCTAATCAGAACTTAGAGTCTAATCATTCTTACAGATTTTCTGGAAAATGCACGGTTGTTTTATCATTAATTTATTACTCTATTTTTTCTTGAAATAATCATTAATAGCTTTATCGATACTCTTGGAAAACATCCATCAAAATAACCTGACAGCCTACAGCACACAGCATCTTGAACTTGATTGATGTTGATACATCAACAGTCCAAAGATTTTCACTTTGAAATCAAAGAAAGTCAAGAAAATTGTCCGTTATTTGCTTAAATAATTACTTAAAAAATAAACACATGTTCAAAATAGTTACACATCAATGTGCAGTCTTTCAACAAAACTATTTTTCAACCCAAGAAAAAAAAAACATTTTTTAATTGTAAGGTGTTCATAAACAAATCCTGTTAAAAGCTCTTCTTGGGTAAATCTGAATGAGTCCATGTCGCTAAGCTTACCTAACACTATCAAATAAAAACTCAAGGTTTATTAGGGTCTACTGACTGCTTTGTTCAGCACAGGCTACATTCAGTGGCAAACTAGTGGATAGAAGGCAGAGAGCTGTGTCGTGAGTGCATTTATCACATGTAAACACACAAATTTCCTCCTCTTTGACTTGCGTTATGGTTCGAGGTGTCAGTCTAAACAAGCCTGCCGCAGCCGTGCGCAACTTTAAATCCTCAACTCGGAGGGGACAACGAGAGAAGGGAAACTCGACGGTCATCATCTCTCATGTTCTGCTCAATATTTCAACACCTTCAACGCAACCGTCAAAAGAATAATAAAGCAACAAGGTCATGGGGCCTGTCTGAACCAAGCAGCACTCCCCCCCCCCCCCCCCCCCTCTTCCTCTCGGGGGAGATGGAAAAATATGCACGACAAACCTCAAGCTAGAGGGCCTAAACTTCAAAACTACTCCTTAAAATTAAAAGATAAATTACAGTCTGAAGAACCACACCATGTGTCAATCTGCTTCTCTTTCACTATTCATAGATTTGTCATTTCTGTCATGTGTAGACAACATTAAAGCGACAAAAGTCCCGAAACAGATTCTAATTTTTAATGAGTAGGAAATGTTATTGAGAAAGTATAAGAATGTGCAAGTGCATCCAAGCAGAAACTTTTTTTAAACTCGGCTGTCATCACGTCTTGAGCTGATAGAGGAAACTGTGTGTTTATGTAGAGACCGGCCTTTCAGTAAACCTAGAGATCCCACAGGGACGAGGATATCAGCGCTACAAGCAGGAAGGAAAAAGCTCATTTTACCAGAGCTTCTTATAGACATCCAAACATATTTGTACATATATGACGACTTTCAAAACCATACAGCGTACCCTGCTTACCAGCACGACTAGTAAAATCATCAGAACCAATCACAACAAAACCATTCTTGTGAAATGCCTGCGTACGATCACTCTGCAACCAACTGCACGTCATACAGACAACAAGCTAACACTTAAACTAAATTCAAAACCGCTTTTTGTTCAGCAGAACCAGATTGGCATTGACCGTGTTTACAATGTATTCCAAATAAAGAGGGCACAGAGGGAATAGAAGTCTGGGCTCGGAGTGCAGTGCCTGCAGAGGGTTTCTGCGGCATGGTTTGGCTTTAAAGGAAGTGTGTGAGAGCAGCCTTGGGGCCCTGGAGTTTAACTGAGACTGTAGTTGAAGGACATTATCCATGAGTGTTAGCCTGTGGCCGTGGGGATATTCCAGCCCGGTTAGACTGTGCGAGCTGGATTTCAAATAAACACGACAGGAAGAGGGGCCGTAAATAGAGCCGGCGCTCCCTGGAGAACCAGAAAAGCAGTGACATTAAATTTCCTTTATGGGGTTTCTTGAAAAAAAAAAAAAAAAACTTTCTTCTTGAGATTCTTAAAACTGTAAACATGAAAGCTTCCCCAGCAGTAATAAAAAAAGATTATCGCCTAACTGCAGCTTCGGTTTCAGTTCTAAATTAGGTTTGACGAACGGGCGTATATAGCCATTGGCATTTCCTGGACGTAGACAAAAGGTGATAGCAAGACTAATGGTGTCATTATGGGCTAAGAAATGGCTCCCCTAGTTGAATTAAAAAAGCAATGACCCTGATCCGAGGGACATCTTGCAGTGACAAAAAGGAAACGGGGACAGGTCAGTGATAGAATATTGGATTTTGGCTGCCCTGGTCAGCGGTGTCACAGCTTTTATGACCGCAAACGGGGGCCATGACCACAGCTCTCCTGATGAGAAGATACAAGCAGCCATTTGTGACCCCGGACCTTTAACCTGACCTCCTGAACAGATGATAGGACAGAGAGGGAGGGCTGTCCTTAGATCCTGATAGGAAATGTTGCCAATGTTGTATCAAGCTTTAAGTTGAAGTGTTTCTATTTCCTTATGAATGAAAGTTTGAGTTTATTCATGGAAATGCTCAATCCTCGGGTTAATAAGACAGCTCTGTTTTGGTCTGGGCTCAATGACGATGGCATTGAGTTTAAACACACACGCCATGCACTTCCGTCATTACAGCTGATTATCCATAATCAACATCTAAATATACCACTACCAACGGTGAGAAAACACAGACCTCCCGAGCCAAATCGCCTTTCAAACATCAGGCTCGCCACAACACAAGGAAAACATTTTCCGACACCGAAGAGAGGAACGTCTCGACTCTCCCGAAATAATAAATAAGTCACTTGTGCTTTTCCGTGGCATCACTCATAATCACAAGTATTTGTTGATCTGAACGGCTGTGGGAATACAACTTCATATGAGAAGAACAAGGCATTAATCCTTGTGTCATGTGTGGCATGGCAAGCGGGAGCTAAGTTAAAGAGAGGGGGAGCTACTGATTGTTTGGTTTGATGTGAGGAGTTTGATCAAACGGTGACAAAGAATACAACTGCAAAAAGGCAAAGAGATGGAAACTAAATAACAATAAAGTATGTTTTCTATTTGTGTCAGTGACCGCTGTGATGTTGAGGTTTCTGCGACAAATGGGATATCAATAACAGGTGGAGCATATGGAGATGTTTTGGAATTAAGCTTTTGTGTATTTATGACTACAAAAACAGGACAAACAAGGGAAAACATGTTGAGCTTGTGTGAGTGACACACATACTTACGAGCAGTAATTTCATATCAACTACAACGAAGTATAGAGCCCATGTGTGAAGATGAGTTCGAAAGACCATCAAAAACAGAACATTTTAAATCAGATATGCAATTCACTGTGGTTTGTTTGACTGATTACAGTAAGAGTAGATGCTTCTGTGTTGTGTATCTTGTTTCAAAAACACCGGCGTGTCACCTCAAGTCTCCAAGGTCCCGTCCACATGTGTGCGTTCACATCGAGTCTGCTTAAAGGAAAACAGACACTCATATTGGTGTTTGCGTGATCAAATTCACAACTGAGGGAATATTTACTGATGTCCAAATATTTACACTGCGAGTCTCCAGCAGCTTCATGGACTCACACTTTCATGGCTACACTAACAAGAGTGGAAAATCAGGACCTAAACCCCCGAACACCAAACAGACAAAAGAAAAATACATGTTGGAACGCTAGATGAGTGCGTGAATGGTATTGTTTTAGGAGTGGAGAAAAAAAAATAAAATCACACTTATTCTTTCACACTTATCATGAAACACATCTGACAGTTTGGTTTTTCAGTTGAACGTCAGTGGGTTTTCATGATATAGGAGCAGAAGAATATTTAAACACTTCACAGCTGTTTAAGTTCCAGAAAGAACAGATGGTCAGCCCTGAAAATTAAATGAAGTCATCTCTCTGTTCAACAATATTTCCATGATGAGACTCTTCCATGGTTAAATTAATATATCATTACTAAAGTGTAAAGGTGAAGACTTTTTAGTGGAACCTTACATAACCCTGATATCGAAGTAGTCTCACGTGTTTCTTCTAGTTCCAACAAACCTCACCATCTGTTGACTTGTTTTGTCTGTTAGTGGGAGCCAACGGATGTGTCTGTGTCTTCACAGCTTGTCTAATTTTAAAATACATCATTGTTTCAGCTGACAGATTTAGTGTCAGATCTAAAAGGTATCTGAGTAACATAGTTGCTAAGTGTAATTTAATATAAATACTGATGTCCTGCCAAGCCCACATGCTTTAGAATTATGCCACAAATCTGCACAATTCACTAGAACATGTATGTGCTTATACATGTCAACTCAAGGAAGCTAACCTCATCAGCGACACTATCAAAATATCCAAAGTAGGATGTCAAAGTGAAAGCGCTACAGCTGTATTTCTTGATTGTGTCTCCGAACAAATCAGGCATGACAAGATTTAAATTTCCTGGATCCGAATGCAGGAGAGTGAATCCAAACGAAGAAGCCAGGTCGTGATTTTATCAGCATTACAGCTGAGTGAGGATAGTAGGGGGAGAAACCACATGAGAATACAGTGCAAGGTCTTAAGGCCCTGACACACGAAGGAGACCGTCGGCCTTCGGTGAGCGGCCGTGGCCCTGGTTTTTGCGGTGTGTCCAGCTCCGTCGCTACCCGTCGGCCCTTTTTTGGTCGATTCCACATGTTGAATCGGCGTCCGAGGTAGGAATCTCTCTGATTAGCTGTTCAGCTAAGCGAAACAGGAGAGCCAGTGCACGAGAGA